TCTCGTCCTGCTAGGGGTGCTGAGCCTGAGGGTGCTGAGCCTGAGCGTGCGGAGCCTGGGGGTGCGGAGCCTGGGGGTGCGGAGCCTGGGGTTGCGGAGTCTGGGGGTGCGGAGCCTGGGGTTGCGGAGTCTGGGGGTGCTGAGCCTGGGGGTGCGGAGCCTGGGGGTGCTGAGCCTGCGGGTGGTGAGTCTGGGGGTGCTGAGTCTGGAGGTGCTGAGCCTGGGAGTGCTACACCTGGAGGAGCTCTCTCCTCACAGCAGCTGCGTGAGTGGTACTTACAGTACTGCAGCCTCAGGAGAGGTGCTTCTGGAGCCAGGAGTACTGCTGGAGCTGGTGCTAGTGCTTCCCCTCCTAGGCGGGAGCTGCCCTCTCCCCAGCGGCTCCGAGAGTGGTACGCACGGCGCTGCAGTCTTCGGAGTGGCGCTCCTAGTGTCGCGGACCCAGCTGCTGGAGGTTCTGCTGCTGGCGGTGCTTCTGGCGCTGCTGGAGGTACTGCTGGTGCTGGAGCTGCTGGTGCTGCTGACGCTACTGGAGGTGCTGCTGGTGCTGGTGGTACTGCTGGTGCTGCTGGAGCTGCTGGAGGTGCTGCTGGTGCTGGGGCTGCTGGAGCTGCTGGAGGTGCTGCTTCTTCTGGAGGTGCGGCTGGTGCTGCGGCTCCGGGCGTTGGAGTTGCTGCTGGTGCTGCGGACCCTGGAGTCGGAGCTGCTGCTGGTGCTGCGGACCCTGGAGTTGGAGCTGCTGCTGGTGCTGAGGACCCTGGAGGTGGAGCTGCTGCTGGTGCTGAGGACCCTGGCGCTGGTGTCTCTGCTGGTTCTGGAGACGCTGCGCGGCCGCGGCCGTACTTCGTTCCGCTCCTTCAGCAGGTTCTTGGTCAGCCTCCTCCTCCTTGTCCTCCTCCCTCCTTAGAGTGTCCTCCGTCTGTCTAGTCACAGTCATAGTTACCGTCTGACTCCCCTCTCCCTGGTCATTCTCCTTACACTGGTCCGACTGGAGGTCTTACGGAGCGTCGTGAGCCTGAGTCTCGTCCTGAGTCGCCTGAGTCTCGTCGAGCGTCGCCTGTTCGTGCTGCTCACACTGGTCGTCGTGTCCCGCGTCAGCGTCCTCCTGCTGTCCCAGGCACTCACCAGATGGCGCTTCGTCCTTCCACTGCTCCCCAGCGTGTCCCTCTCCCGTCTCCTCCTGCGTCCTCTCTTCCTGCTCTTGCTGACCCTGAGTCTGACTCCCTTCGTGCTGCCAGTCCTACTGTCACGCGTCTCCTGGCTACTGTTGTCACTGACCCTTCCTTTGAGTCCACTGCTGCGTCTGCCTTAGTTGGCGAGCTTGTCGACTTTGCTGCCACTTGTCGTCTAGACTACGCCGCTAGCCTAGTTGCTGAGTCTGAGTCTGTCTGTCCTCCGTCCGTCGGGGGTGAGTGTGCTCTTGGCACGGACGTCCTTGAGGACAGGCAGGAGGAGTTTGAGTGCTTTGCCGCTGCTTTACCTCATCTCGTGTCCATGCTAGTTGCCCCTGAGGGAGACCCGGATGCACCAGACATCCCGACTCCGCGCTCATACGCAGAGGCGATAGAGGGTCCCTACTCCTCTCAGTGGCAGACAGCCATGGACGCAGAGATGGCTTCCTGGAAGTCCACAGGCACCTACGTCGACGAGGTTCCCCCACCTGGGGCGAACATCGTCAGTGGCATGTGGATTTTCAGGGTGAAGCGGCCGCCGGGTTCTCCGCCTGTCTTCAAGGCGCGTTACGTTGCACGAGGCTTCAGTCAGCGAGAGGGAGTTGACTTTTTCCAGACCTTCTCCCCGACCCCGAAGATGACCACTCTTCGGGTTCTGCTGCACGTCGCCGCTCAGCGTGACTACGAGCTCCACTCTCTTGACTTCAGCACTGCTTTCCTACAGGACAGCCTGCACGAGGAGATCTGGCTGCGCCGCCCACCTGGCTTCACTGGGTCGTTCCCTCCTGGTACCCAGTGGAGCCTCCGGCGGCCAGTCTACGGTCTTCGACAGGCGCCATGTGAGTGGCACGACACATTGAGGACTACACTTGCGGCTCTTGGGTTCGCTCCTTCTACTGCTGACCCGTCGCTGTTTCTACGCACCGACACCTCGCTGCCGCCGTTCTACATCCTCGTGTACGTCGACGACTTGGTCTTTGCCACTGCTGATACTGCGGCACTCGCCCACGTGAAGTCGGAGCTGCAGAAGAGACACACGTGCATAGACCTGGGTGAACTGACAAGCTATCTTGGCTTGCGGATCACCCGGGACAGAGCACGGCGCACCATCACCTTGACTCAGTCACACATGGTGCAGCAGGTCCTTCAGCGCTTCCGCTTCACGTACTCCTCGCCTCAGCCCACTCCTCTGCCTACCAGTCACTCGCTCTCAGCTCTGCCTTCGGATGAGTCCGTAGAGCCGAGTGGCCCGTATCCAGAGCTTGTGGGCTGCCTCATGTACCTGATGACCTGCACTCGACCTGACCTTGCATACCCTCTTAGCATCCTTGCACGCTATGTCGCTCCTGGCCGTCACCGGAAGGAGCACATGGATGCCGCTAAGAGGGTGTTGCGCTACTTGTGCAGTACGTCGGGCATGGGGCTAGTGCTTGGAGGACGAGACCGAGTTGTACTCACTGGGCACTCAGACGCGTCTTGGGCTGACGACCAGGCTACTCAGCGGTCGTCTCAGGGTTACACCTTCAGCCTTGGCTCTGGTTCAGTTTTTTGGCGTTCTACACGCTCGTCTTCTGTTCTCAGCTCCAGTTGTGAGGCTGAGATCTACGCCACAGCCATGGCTGCACAGGAGTTACGCTGGCTCACCTACCTGCTGATCGACTTGGGAGAGCGGCCTCGTTCTCCTCCAGTGCTGTACGTCGACAACAAGACTGCCATTGCCTTGTGTGAGGAGCACAGACTGGAGCACAGAACGAAGCATATCGCTCTGCGCTACTTCCTTGCTCGAGAGCTGCAGCAGCGCGGTCAGCTTCGTCTGCGTTACGTGGCCACTCGGGCCAACACTGCTGATGTGTTCACCAAGGCGCTTCAGCCTTGTGACCATCAGCGCTTCTGTACTGTTCTAGGCCTCGTGCCTACTGGGCCTCACTTGCTTACTTCTTGACTCTGCTTGTACTGTGATCTCTGTATATATACGTTTACTCTTGCTAGGTTGTGATCACTGTATCTCTTGTTATACTATCAACCTGCATGTGAACTGGTCTTGTGACCACTTGCTTGTGCTCAGAATTTGTGTGGTTTCCTTGAGATCCACCCTGAGCTTGCTTTGCTTTGCTTTGACTGGTCTTGTGACCATCTGGTTGTCTCCCACTTAGCCTATGGGGGTGTGTCAAATATTATATGTTTATATTGTGTAGGCTATAGTGGGTTTAGCCTTAGGGGGTACAGCTTTGTTAGGGTTTCCTACTTGTATCCCCCTCCTACCTAGTTTCATGCATTCTCGTTCTATTCTAGATTCTAACACAAAATTCACCCCGTACTCCACGTAGTGCGCTCATAACTTCCTGCAGGTGTTCTGCACCATCCTCACAACACGGGTGATGTCGACCTGCACCATAAAAACAAAGACGTGAGATTGCGTTCAAGAAAATCAAAGACGGGGCAACAAGTTGATGCGCTCACCAGTTTCCGCTGAAAGTGTTTGTTGAGCTCGTTCAGCTCCTTGAGCGCATCGGCGAGGAAGAAGAGGAAGAAGTGGAATTTGAAGGAAGTCACCACATGATACGTGACCTTATCCTGTTCCCACAGAAGCACGATTCTAGCAGGTTAAACGGCGACTAGGCGTTGCACGACGTCTCCCCTCGACAACCAGTGGATGTCCTTGATGCCTTGCATTTCCAGTGTTGTCGAGTGAAGGACGTGGTGCAACTCCATGAAGCGACTGCAAAAACAAAATAAAGAAAATGTACTCACATTGATAGGTGCCGATCGCCTTATCCGTGATGTGGGGGTTCTTGAGTTCGTGCAGCAAGTGCACAAGAGAGAAACAATGCAATGGGAGCATCAGACTTGCAAATATACAAGTCCAGTAACAGCAACTGTTTCAAACTGTTCGTATCAGCCTCCCTGTCCTCATACTCCTCGATTCCACGCTGCGCTACCCTCCCACCTTTGGCTCGGTCCTTGCAATTGAGGGCGTCTCGATGCTTGCGGCCCAGACCATGCTTGCGCATGGTTTGTTTCTGGATGTCGATGCCTCCCAATCCCGCCTTGCCATAATGCCAGTGAGGTGGCCCGTATGTCATGCATATACTGCATTTCATACATGGCCGCCCGTCCTTACGCTGCGACCAGGGGAAGCGACGGATCAAGATGTTGTGGCACTTTGCCTGCAGCTCGCATATGTTGGGAACCGGAACCAGGAGCGTCGGGGTTGGCGGGCATGGGTCCGGTGGCCGAATTGATCCGCCAGCAGGAGAAGCCGGTTGTGTTGCAGGTGCCGCGGGTCTTCGCGCAGTAGCCTGCATGTTACGGACGTGAGGCACACGAGTTCGCGCGAACCGAGGGTGCTCTGCGTGTAGCGCCCAAACTTGGGAAATCGCTTGCCACCGCCGGCAGAACGCACTGCTGAGACAGAGGATGGTGTGACCCACCCAGTGTTCTTACTGTGCGTTTCTTCTACTGGTGGATCACTGAGAGCACGGCGGAGGTTGACCTCGGGCCATGGCTCTGTACTAGTGGTAGGAGCATGCAGAAGCACAGTGGGTGCCTCAGAAACAGGTGCTACAAGTGGAGCAGGAGTCTGCTACGGAAAGCAAGGCCAGTCAATGGTTTTGGGGGCGACTTTGGTTTGGGAAGGTCACGACATGGGGATATAGCTGGGCCCTCATCGTAATCATCCATGGTGTAAGGGCCCTGAGAGGATGATGCGTAGATGCTCTGGAAAAATGAAATGGGGAAAGACTAGCTCGGCTGGGTAGGTGGGTGCCAAGCAGCGGATGAACCAGGAGGGTTTGAGACCCGCCCTTTTTCTGCGAGGTTGGTCCATGCATGAAGCTGGGCGCACCGTGGTGCCCCCATCTCACCCTCTACCAACGTGAACCTGCCCAAGTTCATCATCGGTGCGAGGCGCTACTGCGCTGATATCTACTTTCTGCGCGTGCTGTAAAAAACGGTCCAATCGCAGGGAGAGATGCTGGGGAATCATCCCAATCTTGGCAGGTTGGGAAGCATAAGACTCACCCTTCTACTCTTGACTGATGTAAGTGCGCTACGGCGCGGCGTCGCATCATTCACGGTGCATCGTTTACAGTCATTGCCGTGAATGACAGCATTTCGGTAGTTCCACCGTCAACCACGGGGGACTGTATAGGTTTCGGTTTCAAACAAAACTCGAAGAGGTACCTACAAAAAAAAAAAAACATGAATAACAGAATAGTAATTGTGGGGCATGGGGCACGGGGCATGGGGCATGGGGCCCCGTGAGTACCACCTCGCACATCACACAGGACATGTTCCATAAACCCTTCTCCTTTTCTCCCCTCCCCCGCTCACCGCCCCCTCCACCCCCCCCAAGGTGTGTGGCGGACAGCACAGTGCAGGGCGGCAGCAAGTGGGGCATTGCCCCTCACTCACCACCTCGCGTATCACATACCGCTCATTCCGTATCCCCTCCTCTTCCTTGCCTCCCTTCCCCCCCCCTGCCCTCTTTCCCCCCCCCAGGTGTGTGGCGGACAGCATAGTGCAGGGCGGCGGCGAGTGGGGAATCACCTCTCCATTCGGCTCCACATTGCGCATCACCGAATTCACCGAGTTTGTGATCAAGTCGCGTGGCATAGGCCTGCATACCGGCCCCTGGGCCTTCCCGTTGCTCCCTGCCCCGCCACCTCGGTTCCTTCCCTCGCACCTCCGCCGCCGGCAACAAAATTGGACGGCACATGCTGATCGCGAGCAAGACTCGAACCCCAGTGACAGTGAGCATGCGAGCGGTGCTGCTGGTGGTAGTGGTGGTGGTAGCGCTGTTGCTGCTGCTTTTGTTGCTGTTGCTGGCGGTTTAACTCCCATGGAGATGTTGGTGTGGACGGCTAGAGCAGTGGGTGGGCCGTCTGTGGTCAACAAATTGGGGTATTTTTCACTAGTGGACTGGGGAATGTTGGGTGAGCACAACCCGACCCCGCAGAAGCAGGGGCAGGGGGGGCAGCAGAACCAGTAGGGGCAGCAGGAGGGAGGGCAACGGGGGCGGTACTTGTTATGGAAATCAGGAAAAGGGGAGGAGGGAGAGAGGGAGGAGGACAGGCAGGTGGAGCAGCTTTGGGAAGAGAGGCAGAGGGTGCAACCGAGGAGCAGGACAAGCAGGAGTAGGAGAAGCAGAAGAAGTAGAAGCAGGAGCAGGGGCAGGGGCAGGGGCAGGGGCAGGAGCAGGAGCAGCAGAAGGATGCAGATCTCCGAAAACTATTGATGCAATACGAGCAGCAGCAGCAGAAGCAGCAGCAGCAGCAGCAGCAGCAGCAGCAGCAGCAGCAGCAGCAGCAGCAGCAGAGCAGCAGAGCAGCAGCTCTCAAGCAACCTCCTCCTTGGGCAAACCGCATGGACCAGGCCCGTGCGAGTGCTTGTGATCCGGCGAGACTTCTTCCTGACTCACCCGCGCATGGAGGATAATGGTTGGGTGGAGAAGCGTGTGGAGGGTGTAAACGACCTCGTGGGGTCGCTCAAGCAGTGGGCGTGGGAGCGTGGTGGGCTGAGGCTGCTAGATGCGGCAGAGGGGGTGGAGAGGATGGGGTCTGTGGTAGATGGGGGGAATTGGTAGAGGATGAATGGGGGGAGTGGGGGGGCGAGTGGGGGGGTGGAGAGTGGGGGGTTGAGTGGAGGAGGGAAGGGAGAGGGGAGGAGGAGGAGGAGGAGGAGGGAGGGAGGTCCTTCGGTTGAGCCGGTTTCGATTGTTGGGCCTGTTATTCCGGGTGATTCTGCTGCTGCTGCTGCCGCTGCTGCTGCTGCTGCTGCTGCTGCTTCTGTTGGAGATGTTGTTGCAGGTTTGAAGAAAGGAGAACAGCAACAGGGAAGGGAAGAAGGAGGAACGGGCAGGAAGAAGAGGCACAGAGGGAGGAGCAGGAAAGAGCATAAGCGGCACGATAAGTCAGGCGGCGGCAGAGGCAAGACGTCGAGCAAGCCTAAGAGGAGGCAGCTGCAAATGCGTCACGCTGATTGGCTAAACCCATAATCCGTCTACAACCCCCACCAACAGCAGCAGGGGGTACAGGGAGGCGGTCACGAGGCGCAAGCAAAAGAAGCACCAGCAGCAGCAGCAGCAGCAGCACCAGCACCCCCGCCGCGTCTCGTCTTCATTCTCAACGGCACCATGACGGCCTGGTCCTTCCGACAGCAGATGGAGGCAGTATACTGGGCCGGTGTGATTGTGGGTGCTCACGGGGCCGGTCTCACACATGTCATGTACATGCGCCCGGGATCCGCTCTTGTGGAGCTACGGCCGCTGTCGGACTCGAGGGACCATACAACCTGCTTGCGAATTACCGTGGGTTGCGGTATATCAGAATAGAGCCGAATGAAAAGGGAGGGGTATATGTGGATGATGTGACGCGGACGTTGAGGACGCTATTGGATGAGGATGTGTGATTGACCAGGAGGTGGAGGCTGTCTGATGGGGCTTAGTGGGGTGGGGAACTGTGGATATGTAGGAAAGATGTAGTGTATGCAAATTCGTGGTGGTGCAAGCATAGGAGATGCTTGTAAGCTGATAAAATCATGATGCAAATGTGGTACAGTACTTTCTCGACTGTCACTTGGCGTGCACTCATGCCATCAGCAACTAACTCCACGGCATTGTTTCCTGTGTTTCCCTCCCACCCTAAACCCTGAACTGCCACAGAGCGCCACCTGTCATCAGGCCTGTCATGCTGGTCCCATGCCGATAAGGATCGCAGGCCCTTCACCTCGGATTTGTTCTTTGAGGCGTGCATCCTGGCCTACCCTGAGTGGGTCAGGGAAGCAGGGCTGGTTCTGGTGCCTTACCATATCGCATGGATATTGTTATCCATAAGCCCAGTCTCTGGTTTATTGTAGGCACAGTCACACTAGCGACACTCCGCATTGAGCGTTATCCCTGACATGTTACTTCTTGTGACGCGCGCAGGTCGACTACGGGCTCTCTAATCACAAGTCGACGGCCATGACCTTCGACCAGGGTCCCCTTGCCACGGAGCAGGGAGTGCAGAAGACTGCGGCCCGCGTTTGGAACGCTGTGGCCATGTGGCTGAAGGTGTCAAGGGGCCGGTGGTATAACAAGGACGTGGGAGGCTTCCGTTGGGGGAATCATAAGTTGTGGGTGAATGAGAGTGGGTTTGAGCAATTTTTGCCGTCCTGTTTCCCCCCTGAGGCTGACCCCGTAGGCACTGATGAACCATGGATGGAGGGTTGATAGCTAATAGGACCAGGACTTTAACCGTCTTTTTTTCTAAAGCTAGTAAATGTTGTGGACTATGATTAGCATGCGGTTGATGATTGTAGTCTGCAAATCTTAGTGGTCTTTTATTAGTTTTGTCTAGAATCATCAGCTAGAATGCAGCTTGTACAAAGTGTAGAGTAGAGCTGCATCGCTATAGTGCTTCTCCTAAACCATGCTAATGAAACCTGAACCCATAGGCTAAACAAAAAAGTGTCCGAAAAGACTCTTTAGGGAGTCCGAAATATATCAGGGTTGTCGAGGCGCGCGTCTGGGGGAAGCTACTGCAGCCAATCAGCATGCTCGACATGTGCTCGGAAAGAGTCTTTTTAGACTCTTTGCACGGAGAGATTTTGGACTCCTACTTCTAACAGTACTTGGTCCGAATGGACTCTTTTCAAGCCTGTCCAAAATTTAGCCCGATGGAATCTTTTTGGACTCCGGAGGCCACTTTTGGGCCAGATAGAAATTGGTGATGTCGTGCGCTGTTGCCTGTCCGCCAGGTGCGGCGTTCTTCACTGCCGCCGCCGCGTCTGCCTCGATATCCCCACGCGACGGCAGTGCTTCAGCCGTGCAGTCCGCTGCTCAGGCCGTCAAGCCCTTGGCGTGGAAAGGGAAGACTGTGAGTAAGTGACCGATCCGCAGCGCTCTTTGCCTCTTGGTCGCCGCTAGTACACCGGCGGTGGTAGGCTACCTCTGCAACTGCTACCAGTAGTAGCAGCACCGCACGGAGCCACAGCCACCTCCTCTTTCAAAGCTCAGCAAGTGGTTTAATGCTGCATTGATTACTAAATTACTAATCAATTTGCACTGATGAAATCGCTTTTATTTATTCTCAAGTTTTCCGTTGATCACGTGTTGTGTTTGTTTCTGCATATCTGCGTCTGACTCCTTCAGAAGTGCTAGCTGCTCGGATTCGTACGGCTCTGGCATCACTGATTCCACCAGGGCGTCTCATGCCGTGATGCTAGTAACTACCTTCTCAACTGCTGTCCTTCCACCTCCTTTTCCTGCGGCCCTATCCCTGCCATTGGCAATCACGTTGCCAGTAAAGTACGTGGCAATATTGCGTCCCACTAAGATCAATGGGAAAGTGGTCGGCGATAAAGGAGCGTTGGGAAAATATGTCATAAAGGTGGCCAGGTGCGTTGCGCTGCAATTTCTATCTGCTGCTGACTTGAGCCCATGGCTGTGCCAGGTAGGCACCATCCCCACTCACCCCTGTTTCCCCTCCCAAACCCCCCGCTCCCCCCCTCCCCCTTTCCCACCTCCACCCCCTCCGCTCTTCCTCGCGGCCATTTCCTTCGGTCCTCTGCTCGCAGGTACTCAGCAACATTACTCTACTCCACGTATGATTTCGCCGCCTTGAAACTCAGATCGGGAGGAAAAACTCCTATCCTGAAAACCGGAATGTCCTGCACTGGTGACGGGTTCAATAAGTTTATCATCCAGTGGACCAACATCACAAGTGACAAGAATGGTCGCCTCAAGCGCTACAGCTTTACATTCTCAGGGAGTGTAACAGCAGATTCTCTTGCTAGCTCACGTACCGCGGTTGAACGTTTATTCCAGGAGTCTGGCATACGCGAGGATTGAGCATCAGAACAGCAAGGAGGCACTCTGCGGGAAGACGAAGAAAGTGAAGGGTTAGTGGTTGGCACGCTTTTGCTCGCTTTGGACTGGCTCGCTCTGAGACTGGGTGCAATGCAAGTGTTTATGTTGGATGGCATAGTACATAACGAATGGATTTGTGTGGTTGGACTCCTCTTGTGCGCATGAGTGGCCGCACATGAGTGAGCAAATATAAGTTTTTGAAAGTGTGTACCACTTTTCAAAATTGTGTATTGTGAATAGCGAAGCGAGTTGTACCGAAGCGAAGGCTTCGGCGAACCGCTAATTTCCCTCCTTTTGGTACAAAAGAGGGGGCGAATGTCGAAGTTATGTTTGCATTGTTTGATAGCCTCTAGTGAGTTGCATGCTAAGGGGGTATAAAATATAACTCGACCCTCTTGTGAGAGAACTAGCAAGGAATGATTGAACTAGAAATGAGATGGGTACAAATAGGGAAACCTAGAAAAGTTGTACCCCCTATTGTCTAACCCACTATAGCCTAAACAGGCTATAACATATGTTTGACACACCCCCATAGGCAAAGTGGGGGAGAACAAGAGGTCACAAGACCAGTCAAGAAAAGCAAAGCAAGCTCAGGGTGGATCTCAAGGATACCACACAAATTCCGAGCACAAGCAAGCGGTCACAAGACCAGTTCACATGCAGTTTGATAATACAACAAGAAGTACAGTGATCACAACCTAGCAAGTGTAAACATGCAGGTAGACATATATAAGGATCACAGTACAAGCAGAGTCAAGAAGTAAGCAAGTGAGGCACAGTAGGCACAAGGCCTAGAACAGTACAGAAACGCTGATGATCACAAGGCTGAAGAGCCTTGGTGAACACATCAGCAGTGTTGGCCCGAATGGCCACGTAAGCAAGACGAAGCTGACCACGCTGCTGCAACTCTCGAGCAAGGAAGTAGCGCAGAGCGATGTGCTTCGTTCTGTGCTCCAGTCTGTGCTCCTGACACAAGGCAATCATGGCCTTGTTGTCGACGTACAGCACTGGAGGAGACCGAGGCGGCTCTCCAAGGTCGGTCAGAAGGTAGGTGAGCCAGCGTAACTCCTGAGCAGCCATGGCCCCTGCGTAGATCTCAGCCTCACAACTGGAGCTGAGAACAGAAGAAGACCGCCAAGAAACAGAGCCGGAACCAAGGCTGAAGGTGTAACCCTGTGACGACCGCTGCGTAGCCAAGTCGTCAGCCCAAGAAGCGTCTGCGTGACCAGTGAGGACAACTCGAGCCCGTCCTCCAAGCACGAGCCCCATGCCCGACGTACTGCACAAGTAGCGCAACACCCTCTTAGCAGCATCCATGTGCTCCTTCCTGTGTCGGCCAGGAGCGACATAGCGTGCTAGGATGCTAAGAGGGTAGGCTAGGTCAGGTCGAGTGCAGGTCATCAGGTACATGAGGCAGCCCACAAGCTCTGGATACGGGCCACTCGGCTCTACGGACTCGTCCGAAGGTGGAGCTGAGAGCGAGTGACTGGTAGGCAGAGGAGTGTGTTATAGATTAAGGACGGAGTCTATGAAGATTAGGGGCTGAAATATCTCAAAATCGTCAACTACAATTCTGGACAGAAAAGTCGTCGTCACAAGAAACGTCGTCGATGAAAGGTCCACTGTTAGAATTCTTTCAAACTCGAGTATGTTGTAGCCCTGGACCGTGGCTATCTTTCCCAATTTGAATAGTATCAGAATATGGAGTATAACTCGAGTTATGAACTTCGGCGCAC